TAGACATTCAATTTACATAATAACTTATTTTGACTGCTGATTATTTCCGGAGTATTTAGTATAAAGTATTTCTGGAGCTAGTATCCTTCTTCTTTGCTCACATAGCACCTTGTACTTTGCTGTCTCATGGTGATTATTTCTCTATATTATTATTATTTATCTGTCTCCTGACTAGACTGTTTGCTTTCTGAGGAAAGAGACCTTATGTTCTTTATTTTTGTGTTCTACCACCTAGGCCAGCACCTTGCACATAGTAAACAGTTAATAAATCTTTTTCCAAGTAAATGGATATCACACAAAGAATCTTTTTACAGGAAATGCTGGGCCTCTCTAAAGTACCCGTGACTCAAGCAACACGTGGTCCTCAGGTGCAGCAGCCGCCTCCTTCCAATAGGTAATAAACATGGCAGTGAGATTTTACAGTTCATGCAGCTATTTAAAGTGTTCTATGCCCTTAACTTGATTGTAGGCATTGAGTAATACTATGTTGTTAAATATTTTTGGGAGTATAAATGGATTGGATTAGTATTGCTGTTTAAGGAGTTGAGGCGGAATCATGTCACTGAAATGTTTACAGTCTCATCACTACAGAGAAGAGTTACTTTAGGTTTTGATATAACTCTGATTTTTTAATTTCATGTTCAGAAAACTTAATTTTTGTGGTTTGAGGTCAGCCAAGCAAAAATAGGCCCTCAACAAGCTGAGAAGGCAAAAAGGGACAAGGGCTGGTTGAATGGACACGGGAAATCCAGGGTGGAAAGGAGGACCATGCTGTCACATTATAGGGAGAGCAACTAGGATCACATAACAATATGTGTATAAATTTTTATATGATAAACTAACTTGAACTGTGAACTTCCACTTAAAGCACACTAAAAAAAAAAGTCCCTCAAACACTTCATCTTGCCTAATCTCAGAAGTAGCTTTTCCCCCTAATCAGAGGTGCTATCACTAAAACTGTTGGTGTATCTTCTCACAATTATTTCTAGTAATCTCAAAACTTACTATGTTGGTAAATGAAAGATTAAGTCCTGAAGTAATATTTGGTTGTGTGTTTTGTTTATAGCACCCCATGGGAAGTTTTTAGAAATGCAAATCCTTGGGAACCAACCCAGATCTTCTAAAACAAAAACTCTGAAAC